CTTCAAGCAAATTCTAGACGTTTGCACGCGGCAAAAGTAGGTGTCGAAGCGTTGTGACCTAAAGGTACATACCTCGGAAGAATTCAACTTTTGGATTAATCGAAGAGACATTACCATTACTCGTACGTCGTGTAAGATATCCCATATGCCGACCAGCCTCAACATTAGGGTGGATAACGGTCGAGGAATCCTCGACCATGGCTCTGTACTGTGTGAGAGTAGTGCCGAGAGTGAATGTACGCGCGGAGAGCACAGACGGCTCGCGCGTGGCGAGAGTGAATGTCGCGCGGGAGAGCGTAACAGGCAGAAATCCTCGACGGGCCGTCGACAATCCTCGACCGATTTTCAGCCCGCTAAGCATCCTAATTCAACACCGTCGCCGTGTGTGCATCTAACCATGTGTTAACAAATTTGTCACCAATAGTTATTAACTCCCCAGTAACTTTAACAGTGGTAATGATTATGTTATTTTCCCGCATCCCATGATGAGTACGGACAATTTTGGAGCGAAAAGTGGAGGCACAAGTTAAGCAAAATTCGCGTACCGCGGTACCTATGTGGCTCGCGCTCTCGTCAGTGTCTTAATCCGTTCCAAGACTGAAAGTATTGAAAACGCGAATTAAATATAATCTACGTGAGCAGTGGTGGGCACGTATTCAAACACTACTACGATTGGGGCGGAGGTCGACTGCGGGCACTTTAGAGGCACAGGAGAGGCTTTAGGGCACTTTTGATCGAGGTCGGCTACTCCATATCTCTTTCGAGTGGCGAATGGGTGGCATGAACCACGACCAAATTAAAGCATTTATTCAAAAGCAAGAAAATCGCATAAAGCAAGATATGGCGTGATAACACGGTTATTAAAGCGTGCAAATTTCTAACTACTCTTCCCAAAGAAATCCAAAACAATGTCATGATTGTTAATGATATGAGCGCATCACTGAGACCATACAAAGATATGATTGACTTCAAAACGTTAACAAAATTACTGGTGAAAATGTGATCACAGTAATTCCAATTATGGCGTAACCCACAGCATCACCTATTTTTGTATAAAAAACTTAACAACAAAGGTTCATAACTCAGAAAGTGGATAGAAAAAGTTAAACAGTCACTAAAGATGATTTTCTTGCTGATGGTCGTTTCGGTGTGATCACGTGGTTGCCGGTTGGATTGCAGTATTGCTGACAGATCCAAGTTCCCTGCGGAGCCTCAGCTAGACCGATACAGTATGTATGGAACCCACGATCGCACTTGTCACAGAAAATCATCGACTCCTGAAAAAATGCGTCTATTTACTGATTGTACTTGTCACCTTCTTCCTTAGCATTCCCTCGCCCCGTTTCTGTCACTCTGCTTTGCTGTGGGGACTGTAGCAATCTGGCGCAAAGCGCTTGAAGTAAGTTAACACGACGGTTTGAGGGCGGAGCACCATCTTCTGTTCCGTAGAGAAACAAGCACTTACACACAACCAGCTGGGGTAGGAAGCCACTGCCCAGCAAGACATGAAAACCCACAGAATTTGAGCTAAACAGCATATATGGAAAAGATGTTAGGTCCCCTTGTGGTCCGAGATCCTCTGCGCGCCTACTCAACTAGTACTCTTCGAATTCACTTCATGAAACTCAAGAAGAAGCTAGCAAAAAAAACTAAGCAATTTATTAGTGGTGACCACCCCACCTCAATCCCATCACAATCCCCAAAAAAAAAGAAAACCATTAAAAATAGATTAAATGAAAATAGCATACCTCGCGATCACCCATTGTGCATACGCTGCAGCGCTTACATTCTATACATTGCCACGGATATGTAGCCACATGTGCGGCCATTTCTTCGTTCATATCCAGGCATGAAGGATGTGATTGCAGCGGACACGACACACACCTAAACATTCAGATGGGTGAAAGGGCAAAAGCGAAATTATGTTCTCCAGACAGATAAAAAGCGATTTGGTTCGGAACTTTGTGATTGATGGTGGAATCTATGGCATCCAAAACTACTCTCTGGCAGAAAACGGTGTACTACGGTGTGGTCGGTCGCAATTGGAAAAAATTTGCTATTTGTGTAAATGTATACCCTAAAAACTGTAAATTGTCAATGGCTGTACTACAGGGATATTTTTGATCCGGCTACTGTAAACCCCTGGACGGTCTTACAGGTTCACAGTTCCCTCCTTTTAAAATAGCTAAACTCACTTTATAAATACTTCTCCAGGTGCCATTGCAACCTCACACATAGTGCACTTCACCGGCTGAAAGAGTGGATGGTTCTTCACCGCGGCTCTCGGAGTGCTGACTTTTGAAGACAACGCCGATCCACTCTGAAGCAAAACGCGTTAAATAACCCAGTATTGCGATTGCCTGCTCTAGGCACCTATTTTTCCTGCCCACAGTTTTCCACCTCAATGATACCGGGTGGCTAGAATCACTCGGCACACGCCCGTGTTTTGGTAATTAAGTTTTTAGTGGAAGAATTTCCCATAGGTAATAGGGTTAGTTACTGGATTCGACTCTTCTTGAACTTAATTATATATACCGCGATAGCGTTCATAAACGACCTAGCATCCACGAGGCCACGGCAAAACTCAATTAGGCCGTTACGTAAAATGCGTTTCGGTCATTCTCATCGACCCGTTCATTGCCACCGTGCTCGGATGTTTTTAATCCATTGACGATAGCGTGGCACACCAGCGGGCCACACTTCTCCGACGACGATACTTTGTTTGACTTATTTGGCCTCCTTTCCTGTTCCAGTGCAGACCATATACACAATGTAACAACTACTGATGATAGAATATTTGATGACTCAACGACTTTTGATGAAAAAATATGCCGCAGTTTAGACACCACGGCTTAACCTACTACGGCGGATGGCCCTCCAGTTCTTCAGATTAAACTGATGGATTTCGTTGTATGGGACGCCTTGAAGAGTACTTTCTCCATCAAATAATAAAATTTAGAATCTCTAAAAATCGAATTAAAATCTCTGAAGGAAGCGCTTTTAGAGAGTGGGGCGGAATTGATGAAATGTCAATGCTTGCCGCTCACACAGCTTTTTCTAATCTCCCAAAAAAACTGTGATAAAAAATGAAGGTGATCACTTAGAGAAACCGAAAGAACCTCCAGATTTTCATAGATCTATTAATATTCATAGATAGAATAGATTTCATGAAGTTGTCCACGAACTGCGATCAAAATTTAGTGAACCAGTAATTTTGTATCACCCATACTTTTGTTCCAAAACAAGATTTTTCATATTAAGCGGATATGACATGAAATTCACTTCGGCAGTCTTGTAAGCAATGGCAAAAATTCCAATTTCCCAAACATTCTCGATAAGAACATTTATCACTGACGATGAGTAAAAAATCGGAACCATAAGATGGCTGCACCTTATCTGACATAATCAAACGGACAAAAACGTACAGAGTTAATACACAAGGTAATTGAGATCTGTTATTTTTACAAAAGAAAAAACTTTTAATATGTTAATTAAATTATTAGCTAACAATCCCGTCACCATCTATAAGCACTGAACAGACATAAGTAGACAAAACTGCCCATACATCGTTGATCAAACAAGTTAATAAATCATAACAATTAAATGCAAAATCACAACGAGACAGTAACGTTAGGATTCATCTTCATCGTCCTCTGCATAGGCCACGACACGTTTTGCAGTGCTTCGAGCCTAAACAGCCATGGATCAAAAGTATTTCACCGCCAAAAAGGCGAAATGACAGGAAAATCGAACTGAGCTCGAAAGCACTAACTAATTCTACGCATTCGAATTCGATAGTGCAAAAAGTGCCCTAATAGATTGTAGAATGGATTCGTAAGCTTCACGACTGCTGGTGTATCCAGTTCTACTCTCCAATATTCCGTTTAATTGTGCGTTTAGTGGCTGTTTAGGCTCACCCAGAAGTATTCAATTCCGCTTTATGCCGATGTCAGACTTTGCGAATCCAGCGATTCGCTAGCGAATCGCGGGCTACGAGCGTTGCACCAGCGGATCGAACAATGTACCAGCGGATGAACGATGTACCAGCGACTCGACACTGTTTGAAAGTGGCGAAACCCTCTCGCTTGCACTTTGACTCTCGCTTCGCTGACGCAACGCTCGTATACCGCGATTCGCTGGATTCGCAGTCTGACATAGGC